ATTCGTATACGTATATAAAAACAATGAATTGGTTGGTTAACTATTTTACCTACCTCGATTTATCATGATGAGTCATTAATAATCCTGAGATCAACGAAGCGCATCAAAAAATTATTAATAATAATGAGTACAATGAATATGGACGACGTAAATAATTCAACTATAATTCAACAAGCGCCATCAAATTTTCTTTTTTCAAATGTTAATAAAATTTTATCAACTTTTGTACCTGCACATCATCGTCGACAGAGCAATGAAGTAAAACAAAACCTGTCAAAAAAAAAACTTCTCTAGTTTTATGTTTTCTTTTTACATAGTTATACAAATCGATCGGTGTAAAATCTCATGGAACAATTACTTGTAAGATGAATCAGTAATGAATCTAGGATTTTGGAAAGGAGAAACGATCATGATAAAAAATACAACATATTTTGAAGTTTACTAGAAGGTCTCCAACTGTTCCTTTTTTGTGATGTTGAGTTTTGAGAAGACTCAATCTTTCGAAAAGGAAACATTTTTTTTTTAGAGTATTCTAATGATCATGAAAACTATATGTAAGTAAAATTTCAGACCGAAATTCTGCCTTTCAACGGTGCTGTAAATATTTTGCATTAAATCGAAAAATCAATAGAATAGTCATAACTTTTGAAAGAAGCTGCATCAGCTAATATCCTCTAAGGATTTCTCTTAGAATAATTGTCTCTGACATATGGATAAAATAACATTGGAAACAGTTTGGAGCAATTCGGAACCTTCTTTCGTACGAAAAATCGGTTCCAATTCAGTTTCTAAAATATCACGCGGAACTGGAATCATTAAATCATTAGATAGATACGAAAATTTTCAAAAATTATTTTGAGAAATTTTCACTATTGAATTATTGAAATTACAGACACAACATATTTCAGTACTTAAACAAAATAATATTATACATATATACGAACATCTTTAATCTCAAAAATGAAGATTTCTTGACATAGATTTAAGAATTTTTCTATCTATCTGATGATTTAACAGTTTAGTTCTCGGTTCCAGTCATTTCGGAACCCCCAAACTCTAGCGATCGGCTCTAGTGCCTTCACTGTCTAAAACCACCACTGCAATGAATAAATCTATCTGAATAATAAATGAGAAAAAATATTTCTATTCTTTTTCTTTTTGTTTAAGTTGCGGATAATAAATCGAATCGAGCAGAATTTATTCGCATACCACCTGATGCTCCTGTTATGCAGGTTAAAGAATTAATTAGTACAAAATGGTGTCATGAAGTATGTTTTATTGTTTTAAAAAAAAAAAAAGAAAATTAAAATTATTTAATGGTTAATTTTGTTTTGTAGCGACCATCACTTGTTATTTCAGTAACAGGTGGTGCAAAAGATTATAATATGAAACCAAAATTATTGAGAGCATTTCGACGTGGTCTTCTAAAAGTGGCAAGTACAACAGGTAATGAAATTAAATAATTTTTAGTTCAAATTACTTTCAAAGACTCATGTTTAGTCCTGTAACGTACTGATAGTGACGGATCCAAGCGAGGACTCGATCCCATTCTAAGTTAAAATAGTACTTTCACCACTACTCACTGAGATTACAATCCAAACTATTGGCAGTTTTTTAGTGTTTCTAAATGAATTTTTTTGTTTTTGTCTCTCTTTGCTCCAAGTAGAAATAGCTATCAAGTAAAGATTTGTATGACTGTGACTTGTAACTAATTTGAAGGTCTCCACACATTATACAAAATGAAAATATGATGATAAGCATGAAGATAATAACGAAGATTGTAATGCAAATAAAAGCAAAATTAATGAATGAGATAAATATAAATTGTTAAATAATGATTCTGAATGTGAAAAAGAAAGCTAGTGATCATCACAATAATAGTAAAGTTATGATTCATAGTAAATAACCTTGCTATTTTTATATCATTTTTTTTTTGTGAATTTTAATTAAGATCAAATATTAAATTCGAGCATGATAAAAAGTTTGAATTTTTCTATTTCAATTGAAATAAGAGTGAGATATTATTGGTGAGTTTCGGATTTCGAGATATGGGGATCATGGTCAAAAAACATGTTTTGAAGTTCATTAGAGGTAGTATCGACTTATTTCCGAGCGTTTTCTGCTGAGAAAAATGAAAAAAATATTTCAAAAGGAAGACCAACCGCCTCTTCTAAATCTGCTACAGAGAGATATGTTTTCTTTTTTGTTCATTGATTTGATCAAACATTATTGATCACAATCACCTGTGACCGTGATCGTGATTAGAGATGCAATGATGATGGTCGCCAATCTAATCGGTAACTGTTTCTTACCGGTAACCGGTTTATACCGACTTATATCGACTTATACAGGCCTAGGAAGTAGTCGGTTTTTCAAGATTTTCAATTTGATTTTTTCATCAGGGGAAGGTTTTTTTTCGAAAATAACGATATTTGAAAAAATTTGACCAAACATCATCGTGGTCGAGGAATTCGAATCTGTTATCGGTTTCTGGAAGTTCTGAGTTTGATTTTTTTGCAAAAGAATAATTTTTTTTACTGAAAAAACGTTTTTTACACAAAAAATTTTTTAGAAAATAAGTATTTTTTTACAAAGAAATGATTTTTAGGAAAAGAAGAATTTCTTTGTAAAAAGTTTTTTTTGCAAAAAAGTGAAATTCAGAACTTTCACAAATCGATGACATATTCGGATTCCTCGACTCCCATTTCCGGTGGTCAAACTTTATGAAAAATCGTTATTTTTCGAAAAACTCCTTCCCTAAGGAAAAAATCAAATTGAAAATCTCGAAAAATCGACTACACCCTAGACTGGTATTAGTCGGTTACCGGTAGATCACGTCCCGGTACATCGTGTCCTGGTAAGGACAGAGTCCCGGTTAGAGTCCGTGGGGCTAAAAATTTTGCACCTGGACCCAGATCCGGAGCCTGTTGATTCAACTTTTTTGGGCCCGGTCCCGAATTGTACTCTTGATGCTTAATGAAATTTATTTAAATTGTACCTGATAATCCTCCAGGAACACACTCTCAACAGTTCTGAAGCAATCTCGATCATGATCTTATAAGAATCATCTTATAATTGGCTTTTTTTTTTCAGAGTAGCACCCATGAAGTTCGATTCGAATCCGGTCAATCGAAAATTTTCAGACCTGGACTCGAATCCAAAACCGGTCAACAGGAGATTTTTGGATCCGGACCCGACCGAGTCCGGGACCAACCCGATGGGCTCTAGTCCCGGTAGAATGGTTACCGTCATCGTTGCATCTCTAATCATAATTACATGAGACCGTGATCATTACCGTGACCTGCTTTTGGGCGTTCAGTTTCAAGTGATAGTCCTACGAAAACTTTTAATTTTTTTCGAACTCTATATATAAATAAAGAAAAAGTAAGACGAAAAAGTTAGAAGTATGCAGGGTAGGATAGAATAAAGGTTAGAAAGTTTTTCTCAAACAGAGTACGAAAAAAACTCACCCGACATATCGCTAAAAGAAGCAAAGATAGTGCTAGTGAAAACATCTGTCATAATGATGTTCTAGGAATCATCATGAATACATGTTTATTACGCATATAAGATGGTAGAAAAAGTTTAACGATAATACATTTTTTTGATTTTGTTTTTCTTTAATGATAAGCGATTAGCCAACGAAGTTTGCTATCTAATAGATTCTATAGTAAGATTTCTAAAGAACTGAACACAGTAGTGTTCAAATTTTACAAACTATTTTTTTAACAGTGTCATTTTAAAAAGCAGAAAATTCTGAACAAAATGAGCGATCGTCACATTTTCTACGACCTTCTCTTAAAAATTTAAAAGTATCACAAAAATGATAAAAAAACCGCCTTCTTTCGGTCTTTATGATACTTTTAGCTTTTGAAGAGAAGGTTTCTGGAATCGGAGCATTACTGTGTCCAGTTTTTTAGAAATCTTGCTATAACATGCATTAGATAGAAAACTCCATTGGCTATTAAAATCACTAACTGGATTTGAACTAATTGCTTAAGATTATAGAAAAATAAAATATAAGATACATTATTGTTAAGCTTTTTTCCATCAGCTTACTTCATTAAGAAAATTTATGTACAGACACTTAACTAAAACATTGGATTCATCTTTTCCGATTCTATTTTGACTTCTGGTACATTGGAGAATTCTAAAGATTTCGTCATATTCTTGCCTACATTCTACTTGAAGGAAGTATGTTGTAATGTATCAAAGGAAAAATCTATGGTACTTTTCTATCCTAATAATGTAGAAGCATTTTGAAATATAATGTATGTCATCATTTTGCATATCATTTATTGAGTTTTTACACAACATGTAGAAGTAAGTAGCAGACCTCGGCATTGAGCCAATTTTTGATAATCCAAAAAAACTTCTCTGGACCGAGTGATCGATTTCAAGGACTGGCAAATAGTTAGTTAGATTTCTTATCTAAAATTTATGTAATCTAAAAAAACTTAATTTTTTTATTTTGGTTTTAAGGTGCTTGGATTATTACTGGAGGTATGAATACAGGAATTATGAAACTTGTTGGTGAAATTGTTCAAATAAATCCTAATCGCCATCGCCCAATACATTTAATCGTAAATTTAATTTTTTTTAAATTTAATTATGTATTCTTCAACGATCATTTATAATAGGGTATTGCTACATGGGGTTGTGTAGCTGGTTCTGATCAACTTGATGTTCATGGAACAAATGTACATTATGCTAAACCACATGTTGAAGAATTAAACGAAGCACTTCTCGAACCTAATCATACTGAATTTATTTTTGTCGATGATGGAAGTGTACGAAAATTTGGTGGTGAAATAACATTTCGAGCTAGTCTTGAACAAGCTATTTCAGGAGATTTTTTTGCAATACGATCTAATTCAGATTCTAGTCCTACATTACCAAAGTTGACGCCAACAACATCTTTCCGTTCAGAACAATCAGGTTGATATATAATTTCATCTTTTAAATGACTAAATTTGTTTTATTTTATAGATCCAATACCTGTTGTTCTTCTTGTTGTTGAAGGTGGTCCAAATACTGTTCGAACAGGTACAAAATATTATTTCTTCGAAAAACAAAAAAAATACTATAATTCATTTTTTCTTTATCTATAGTTCATGAAGCGGTTGTTGAAAATAATATACCAGCTGTTCTTTTTGAAGGAACAGGTCGTTGTTGTGATTTATTTGCTAAAGCAGTCCGTCTTTACAAAGAATATCGTC